ACCAAATTTTTCAAAAGTTATTTTGGTAATAGAAATAGGATGAGACAAGTAAACAAATGCATTACTAACTCAAAAAAAATTCCTCCCAAGTGATATGCTTGTTAGGGAAAAAGACTGTAGATCACCATTGAAAATCTCATTCCTAAAACACAATGGCCTGTTTAGGGATGTCAAAATAATTCGTCGGCTCGGGCTGCCCATGACTCAGCCCCAAAAAAGCCCGAACCGAGCCGGCTCGTGGCTCAAGACCACCGAGCCAGCCACACGGACCTTTTCGCCAGAACAAGCCGAGTTTCATTAATAACAAAAAGAATTTTAAAAAAAAAGGGTAGACAGCTGCCTAAAACGTTTGCAAGCAGCTGCACGAGAAAAAAGAGCCTACCCGGGGTGGGCCCGCTAAGGCCCGAGCCGAAAACTAGGGTCGAGCCTCAATTTGTTGGCCGAGCTCGGCTCAAGCCAAAAAAATTCCGAACCAGTTTTGATCGAGCCGAGCCCGTTGACACCCCTAGGCCCATTTGATACGAACTAGGAATGAAGAAGAGAAGTTAAAATTTTTGTTCATATAATGCTGTCCAATAACGTGTACATATGCACAAAATGCCTATGTAGCGTTCAAAACAACGGCAGATCCGTGAACAAAGGGCATAATGCTAATCTTGAGATTGACAAGGCAAGTTCCACTAAAAATCATTAACAGCAGCAATGAAGCAATCATCAAGATCATATGAAGTAAATGCTTCAATTGAACAGACATAAAATTAAATATCACAAATTTGTTAGCATAGACAAACCTATAATGACTTGAAAAAGGCTCAGTCTGGCTAAAAGAGGCGATTCATAAATTATTTCACACCATAACACTATCCAATCTCACCTTTTCTGTTTCTTATTACCAGAAAATTTACTTTTCCCGAAGACTCTTGTATCATTTGTGGTCTCAACTGTGTTTTGCTTCTTCAACCCTTTCTTCCCTCCGAATCCAAACTTGGAATCCCTAAATTCCCTATTCTTCCTTATATCCAATCCTTTCTTCCCCTTTCCGCCACCCTGTTTTGCCTTCCCTCCAGAACAATCTCCATGAGCCACCCCAGGCCTCTTCTTATTTGATCTCTCAAACGCTTTTCCATTTTCAAAATCGAAATCAAAGTCACCATCTTTATTTCCCCCTGCAAATTCACTCTGCTGCCTCTGCTTTCTCCAATTCTTAACAGATTCTATATCTTCTTTCTTCTGCTTGCCCCTCTCCTTTAGCTTCTGTGCCTGTATCTCTTTAGCTAACTTCTTATTTTCTTTCGCCTTCCTTCTCTCCTCAGCATCCTCGACCTTTCTTTCTTCACTTAACAGCTGGCTCTTAACTTTCTCCATGTGTTCAGAAGGTCTAAGAAAAGGAAGCCCCATTGACTGAAATTCCACAAAAGCCTGCCTCGTGCCCTCTAGTGCCTGGGTGTAGAAAGCAAACTCCCGTGTCAAGTCATCATTTACATCGATTTCTTGCTCCCGATCGATATCGATCAAAAGCTTGTGTATCCATTTAACATTGTCAGGCCAGCTTATATCTCCAAGTTTATCGAGCAAGCCATCTTTGTTGTTTACAGCATTCTTTGAAGGTTCAGTTAGTTTCACATCTTCGTCTGATTCTGATTCTAATTCAGTTTCAGATACCACAGGATCGGGATTTTCCATCTCTATGTCATTCGTTGTCACCTCACTTGACATGGTTTTTTTGCAGTGGTGATAAAGCAATCTGCAAAATAAAACTAACAATCAGCTTCCTACAGCTAGAGTTCAAAAGCATACAGTAAGAATGAAAAAGCTGTCTACCAATGAAATCAGTCAAGAAAAGTGGTAAAATAAACCAACCAAACCTCACCCTCCTATGCAGGGCACAATTACAAAATCCATACTGCAGCTTTCCCCAAAATAACTATGTATGTCCAATTTATTAATCAAATTCCCGTTATAAATTTAATAAACATGAGAACCTGTTCAAGGAGCTCCTTGTTCATTCATTGTAATGAAATACAGTTTAGTGAGCTAGAACACCGATACACTAAATGAAAATAGCCTCTAACCAGAGTCCAGTGAATAAATTTAATGAGAGTAGTGAAGATTTTGTGCTCTGATATTACAACACTTCACATTCTGATTCTCCCAAATGTGATTATTTTATGTAAAATAGCTTTAAAATATCGCATTTGATATTGATCTATTCTATGGAACAGTTTGTTTTATAATGGAAAGCAGTGTTGCACAAACTCTATCTAATTGATGCCTTGAGAAATTGAGAATAAAATTTGTTTCTCTTAAAAACCGGTTTCTGGTACCAAGCTTCTCAAGTCTTACTAGTGTGTATAACAAGAATTGAAAATCATGGTACTAGATACTACCTCCATTCCATAAAAATAAACTTGATTTCCTTTTTCGTGTATCCTAAATTATATGCCACTTTCCTTATTGAAAGTACAAATAATTTTTAGTTTTCTAATATGCGTTCAACAAATTTAAACTAATCATATTTAAATCATTATTTAACATACGGGTATATTAAGAAAAATGTAAGAAAATTTATATTTCCAACTATATTAATAACATTTTCTTAATCCGTGTAAAAATAGAAACAAATCTATCTTTATTGAACAAGGTAGTATAAGTTATAACAAGAATTGAAAAGCATGGTACCAGTAATCAGTTAGTAATAAAGAAACAAGTATTTTATTTTCCAGACATCAATTAAATGGAGTTTCCACAGCCCCGTTGTTGTTTATAAAACAAAGTGTTCGATAGAATAGATCAAAAACAGGTGCTAAATAAGTAGGTTTTTACTTAAAAATAAGAAAAGTAACATACCAAATCATGCTTAGAAACAAAAAGTTACTCAAATTTAAGCTTAGCCAAACACGCTCTTATTTGTATATATTACTGACTTGCTAGAAATGTACTTTCGGAAATATCATAGTATTGCGTACTACAGGACTTTTCTTTTTAACATGACAAGTTCATAAATATATATATCTGTTTTCATCTTATTGAACCCTAAAAACAAAAATAAAAACTTAATTAATCAGGAAAACATGATTGACGACAAACAAATGAACATTCACAAACATAAAAAATCCCATCAAATTGGGGATTGATTTTTCAACAAAATTAGTTTATTACCATCGGGAACCCAAAAAGAAAAGCATAAAAAACTTACGTCACAGTTAAACTACGCTGCACAAAAAAATATTTCAATAGCTCAAATGGTTGAATTGAAGTTCATATAAGATTGAAAATCAATTAAATTAAAAACATGACGAGAAGAATGAAAAAAAAAATGCTTTTTTACCTATTTCTTGAACACCCCCAAATAATAATCTGACACGAAAATATCTTATGCGATTTGATTATAATGCAATATCAGTAAAAAACGAGTAGAAGAATGATACGTTTCAGGAAAGAAGATTGCACTACCTGCCGAAGGAGGCACTGCGTACTGGAGAGAGACTTCAGGGGTATTAGGCCTTAGGGTTTTAAGAAAAGAGAGGAAAAGCGAGATAATTGTCCAACAATCAGTCCATAAACCTCTTTTGTACAAAGTTGACTTACAAAAGTTAGGTTACAAAGTGCGTTGACAAAATTCATATCGTTGATTTCAATAATTTAAAAATCTATTTTTAAAATGATTGGTATACATGTTATTTTTTCAACCAACTTTGTAACCCAACTTTTTACATATAGCATAACTCATAATCAGCAAACTTAGATTTACGATTGCTCGCAATACCTTTTAATATGCTAGCTTCTATAACTGAACTTCTTGAAGTGTCAAACATTACTCACTGTAATCATTTTCTTTTCGGGTCCATTTGATTGCAAAAGTGGAATTTGGGTGGAAAAAAATGAATTCCAAAGAATTGAATTGCCAGAATTATTTTCCTGAAAATTGTCAATTAATTGTGTTTGATTTATATAATTTCTTGAAGTGTCAAACATTACTCACTGTAATCATTTTCTTTTCGGGGTCCATTTGATTGCAAAAATGGAATTTGGGTGGAAAAAAATGAATTCCAGGGAATTGAATTGCCAGAATTATTTTCCTAAAAATTGTCAATTAATTGTGTTTGATTTATATAATTTTCCACGTGGAAAATATTTAAATTTTGGATCTTTTGTTGTTCGTTTGGCTTTATTTTTTATGGTAATTGTCAAGAGAAATTTTTTTTTTTACAATTGGTAATAAAATTTGTGTCCATTGCCAAAAAAATAAAAATAATAAAATAACTTGGTTTCCTTCATTTTAAGGAATTGGTGCATGTGTGGGGGAATCATGGAATTAATTTTTCATGGAAAAAAAACCTATCAAACAATCATTTCCATGGAAAATGGAATTAATTTTCCATGGAAAAAATAGGCTATCAAACATAGCCCATGTTTGGCCCCCATTATTTTGCATTTTTTTATTGTTGAAAATTTTTGGAATAGTGATTGATGGGAGAATGTGTAGTGGAAAAGTAATGAAAAGTTTTAAATTTGTTTGTAATATTATTTTATTTGATAAATATGTAATTGTAATGAAGATAGAGAAATTTAATGTAATGTAATTTAATTTAATAGGGGCCAAACAGGGGCATAGCCTTCATGTTTTTAACAGAATAGCTGACATGACAAACGAATTTCACGACTAACGCTCCATTACCATTAGATTCTCAAACACAGAAGTAGGACAATGTACGTAAGGAAGGCATATTTAATTGTTCACTATACTTTCATAGACGTATTTGATTACCAATTAATCTTGTTGGCCAAGGTCATTGACATCCTCTTGATGGGGATTTAAAATTTCTCGTGTGAAGGTTATTAGTTGGAGGGAAACATTACCGCGTAAGAGCGGAAGATAAATACATGCGAGTGGCTATGAATGGGTTTGAAGGAACCCACAGCAGAAAATGGAGCGCACAACAGAAAATCTCATTAATAACAATTATGCATCATTCAATAAACTGTTCCCCAAATTGAAAAATCTTAGAATCCTATTTAGTAAGTGTGTCCACAAAATTTAGTTACTACCATTTTCAAAGAAAATAACACAACTAATCAATTCTAAGTTAGAGGATTATTCATTCAATCATATTATGAGTTTTTCAAAAGCATAATTAATTCTTGCAAATATCATACACAACCAAAAGATCATTTAACCTCAACTCCTATTCTTGAAAAATCATGCAAAAATTTTCAAAATTTTTAAAATTTAAACTCAATCTAA